GCGTGTAGTAGAATCTTGACATTATTGTCACCAATGTTGAGTACAGTGAAACCCCAAAATGCAGAAACCTAGAGCTGAAGACAATTCAAGTTGGGGACACTTGAAGTTTTAAAAAATCTGACCCAGCTTCTGGACAATAACGTAACTGATAGACATTTCCCAAACATTATTGAATTTTTACCTATTTTTATCTAAAGTTTCATATTTGTGGAAGGAATTACGCTGTTTACAGTTACAAATACTAAAAATAAAGGTTAACTTGAAATTACCCCAATTCATTACTAAAAATGGGCTAATTTTGTGCATCTATTTTTAAATTCATTTCATCATGCCTGCTCAGTATACCTAAACCTGTTCTTGTTCTTTGCTCCTCAAGCTTATTCTGATCTCAAAAGATCAGATTATGGGTGGTTTGCTTCTGTCCATTTATTTTCTGTTTCTTCAAGTTAAAAAAAAAATTATTTTATTCTATTTTTCTTGAGGCTTTTCCTTGATTATTGATTGAGAGCAGAACCAATTAAAAATATATGTCCATTGAAGTCCATGGGAAAATGAGGTCCAATATGCAGATGTTCCAACATAGGGTCAAGGTTGCTGCACCAATTATGTCCATATCTCGCAATCTCACTGTATTTGGCGCAGTCATGGTCAAATTTTTTGCACAGATATTCATACAAAGCAATCAGCACTGTACAAATTAAGGGAGTAATTTTCAACAAAGAGATTGGTTTAGCTTAAAAACTCCATGAATTAAATGGCTTGATCAATTATTTTCAAGGACAACCAGATCCCAACAAGAAAGGAATTCTGCCAAGAAACAAAAGTTTTTCTCTACCTTGGTGGTGTGTGATTGTGGCATGGATTTTGGTCATCATTTGCTTCTGTGTGTCAATATTCTTCCTCTGGGCATATGGGATCCAATTTGGCAATGAAAAGGCCACCAAATGGGTGTCTTCTCTCATATTTTCATTCCTCTCATCTGTCATGGTTGTGGAGCCAATCAAGGTGAGGCATTTACCTTTGCTTCAATCAAGGTCTCTTCAGCTTTTGAAATTTCTTTCATTAATTGTTTTTTTCTAAACTTTGAGAATTTTTTCTCGAGTTTAAGAATTGTTTTTTTTTCTTGCATGGTCCATTTTTTACTGTGAATAAATTCATATAATTTGTTTGGAAAAAATTTGAAATCAATCTGTCTGCTTTATCCAGATTTTATGTCTTGCAATGGTCTTCAGTGCAGTTTGCAAAAGTGCTGACACTGCTGATGATGCAGATGAGGATGAAGAAGACCCTGCCTTGGAATGGGATGAGAGTTACCTTCAATATCCTTCAAGTAAGTTTATTAAAATGAGAGACATTTGAGTGAGACCTTATTCCATATCTGAAACAATTTTCATTAACTGACTGACTTATTCTTCGGCTTATGAAGGACAAAAGAGAGAATCAGGGAAATCAAGTATGCAGTTACCGACTCCTGAACAACTGGAAGCAGCAAGAAAACAGCGCCAGAATGAAACTAGAATGTGGTCCATGTTCAAGGAAATCTTTTTCTATTCTGTATACCTCACCATTGTGGTCACACTGTCTTATGGAGATCAGGATCCAAATGGCCACTTCTT